TCCATAAAATAAATCTCATTTTAGTGATGAAAGCACTTGTAGGATTTCAAAGTTGAAGTGTAAAGAAACTGAGTTTGACCTCCAGCTAGAAAACAAACTGTGTTTTTGACTCTGTGGAAAATGGATCATCGATCCTCGTTTCTGTGTCTGCAAACTTCTCAAATGTGTTTGAACTGGCCTGCCGCCGGCAGCTTGAGGTTTCGGCAGGTGTGACTGCGCCTGAAGAAACTTGTCTTTTCACTTCTCTGAGCGTTTCCCTGCTCCGCGCCGCTCCGCCCCGCTCTCTGCTCTGAAGCTCGTTCCTTTAGCGGCTGATCAGATCCCGAGGCGCAGGCATGCATGAGGACGCTTTGCATGACTCACCAGATGGGAACGCTTGGCTTTGTTTCTGCAGCCTTCATGTCAGGGTGTGTGTGTGTGTGTGTGTGTGTGTGTGTGTGGTGTGTGTGTGTGTGTGTGTGTGTGTGTGTGGGTGTGTGTGTGTGTGTGTGTGTGTAGGTTTGTTTAATGAGTGTTTCAATAGCATTAGCGCCATTGTACTGAATATTTTCTCTGTACTGTCCAAAACACCGGGTAGGCGTTGTTTTTGGTATGTTTTGGGTCATACTTATAAACGTGTCCTCCGGAAAATACTTGAATTTATATAAGGTGTTTTCAACATTTTCAAGGTTGGAAAATTATTAATTTATGAATAAAGTCCTTGAAAGTGCTTGACTTTAAAGCTGCACAGCTTTATAATAAACGTTTGATGAAAAACCTGAATGTGGAAAATGTTATTTACAGTTGAAACCAGATACACTTGTTTTTCTTCTTCTTGTCTGAAGTTAAATCAGGTTAAACTTGTTTAAAGTCAGTTAGAATTACCAGAATTATTAGTTAAAAACCAGAACACTTTGTTTTGTTGATGACTTTCTTTCTATATTCTATATTCCTGCTTTTATTTGATCAGGAAGGTTATTTACTTTATCACGATTTATTTGGATTATTTTTATAAATTCATATTTATTTTTTATAAATTCATATTTATTTTTCCTGATGGCTCAATGACTTATTGATCTGGGTAATTAAAATAAAAATTGGCTTATATTTTATCCATTAAAGTTATTGAAATGGGGTAAATTGGTGTTTTGTTCTCGGATCAGTCAGGCTTACAGGGTGAGATTTCAAAACATGAAATTTTGTTATTTTCTAGTTTACCTTCTCTCTGCTGTAGAGACCCTTCCTTACTGTCACTAAAATGTATTAACAGTAATAAATGAATAATAATAATATTGAATTGAAAATGTATCTTACTGTTTAGTCAGTAATTCCACTAATGAAAAGAAAAGTAGATATTTTGTCCTATTATTGTTTTAGTTTCTACATTTGTTCTCTTTCTTTCTTCTGCTGCGTAAAGCGTGATGCACTGCAGAGTCACTGAAATAAGGAAATGTTTATTTTGGCGTTTCCATTAACCTTTATGCGTCTGTTTGTTTTTGTCTCTCTGCTTCTGTTGATGTGGGTGAACCTGTGGCAACCCTTCATCTTGTTCGCTCTCACACTGCAAAAACACAAAAACAAACCAAATATTCAGGTCCAGTTTCTACAGCAAATATCTTAGTACACTGGAAATAAGACAGAGCTTACTTACAAGTTTTCAGTTTGGTATGTGAGCTTGTTTTAGGTCAATAATTTCTTCATAAAAATAGTAGCTGAAGTTTAAGATTATTTTGTCATAACAAGACACTTTTTTCCATTTTAAGTTAAATGATTTGCCACTGGAACAAGAACTTCTTACCAGTATTAAGGAATCATCTACTTAAAACAAATATTTCTTACTGAAAAGTTAGTTTTGTCTCATTTCAAGTTACTTAAATATTTGCAGTAGGATCCTGGACCAGAAATATTTGCAGTATTTTTTTTGTGTTTTTGAGGCTAAAAAGCCTCAGCGGTAATAAAACACGCAGCAGCTTCTCACTTCTGTTTCTCGCTCTGCTCTTCCAGGAATAACCGAGCTCTTCTTCCTGCGATCACATCTCACCGTCCGGACTGTCTGAAGGCTCCTCCTCTACGGACGCTGCAGCTCGCCGCTCCACTCACAAACATCACCTGCAAAACCAACAAACACACTCTGCATGAGAAGGACGCCAAGCTGCATCACCAACCAAACGGCCTCGTCTGATTCGTTTTTGTTTTCCTTTTAATGGTCCTGAATCCGAAGTAAACCTTCTGCTTTCACTGCCTTATTACGACTTTGATGCATTTTTATGATTGCTGAGGATAATTACTGTAGCAGCATTTTATTTATGAGATAAAGCCATCACTTCAGGAACTTGTAATTGCTGTAGGCTGTACATGTTAGAGAGCAAACACTATTTAACCTCAATGTAGAAGAAAACCAAGCATTGCTTCACCCCCACACAATGATTTTCCACCCGGTGCCACTGTACATATCAAAGCCTCTCCAGCAAAGCCAGCTTACGATGATCTTTTTAAGGTTGATTTGTGTCATTTGGATTCATTTCACTTTTCTTGTCTTTTGTTTCTCACTTTTATTGTGACGTTTTGGTTTTTCCTCCCCCTCGAGCTCCACTTTCGGCGAGGAAAACGAAAAAACAAAATGACTTTGACGTGCCGGTGCAGGCTGGGAATGTTTTTTTTTTTTCTCAGGGCGTGGACGATCGGCCACAGCACAAGCTCCGCGTCAGCGTGGCAACGGCGCGGCCGCGGGGCAAAGGGCTCAGAAGGCCAAGCTCCGCCCGAAAGAGACGCAAAGCCCAGAGAGAGAAATCTGTTATCCTCCCCTGACATCCACAGCCTTTATCTGCTCCTCCGATTCACCTGCAGCCGCGTTTTCCACAGCGTAGGGGAGGAAAACAGAGACGGACGCATTTCTTGTTAATTTGCAGTTTACTCCTAAAATAATAAAGTGACAACAGTACAGCAGCTGCTGTTTCTGATTGCTTTCAGACACTCTGATTTCAGTCCATTTACTGTGCAAAACAAATGACTCGAATCTTGCAGAATAACCTGGAACTGGGAAATTTGGGATATTGATTTTGCTCCTATTAGCTTATCTAGAGAAACGACTCGATACCTTAGATCAACATTATCAGAATCCAGAGAAACCCCTAGTTTATAAATCACAAGCTACTTATTCTTAAACCTGGGGTTATACTTTTTTGGATTCTTTTTTCTTTTGCTCTTTCCGTTGGTTTGTCATTTTGTTGCATTTCCTTCTAATTTATATAAAACTCTTTGATAAGAGGTAACTATTTCTTTGGCACATTTTCAGCAACGACAATTCAGTCAATCTGTCAAGGTTATTTGTTCAAGGTGCTTTACAAAATAAGAACAGAAAGTTACAAACCAAACACCATACAGTCAATAACTGAACTGACATATAATGTGCATTATTATGGCCGATTACCAATATTTTAGATGTTTCACAACAGTGTTGACACTTTGCAAAAACCCAACCAGAATCAGATAAAAACAAATATTTGTTGCTCATATCGGTCAGTACCGATGTTGATGTCGATATATTGTGCATTTCTACGTGTAATTATGAAATTTATTAGTTTATGCTCAAGTAACTGAGAAACTTATAAAGCCTTAAACATACATTACTGTTTTAGTTGAAGAAGTATACGGCAGCAGTTTTTATTATTGTAACCACGTAATGACGTCAGCACCTATCGTCTGCGAGCCAAAGAGTAGTGAATTGGTGAGAGGCGTCACACCAGGAGACATTGGAAGGCTCCAAGTACGTTTAAAATGCGCATAATTTATTTATTAATTTATCTATTTTATGAAGCACCTGTTGCATTAACATCTAAACTGTTTCATATGGTTTTGGTCATCAAACAGATTATATGAAATAGTTCATTATGGAGTCATTTATACTAAGTTGTTTTTTTCATATCCCCCTTTATGGTGAATGTGGTGATGTTTTGTTTTTGTGGATTTTAGTAGTTAAATTAGGCCAAAAACAAACTTTCCTTTTGTTTTAAAACTTTCTTTAATCCCAATATAGATTAAAACAATCACCCATGTATGATTATCTGGAACCAACCCAGCAATGAAAGTATTTAATAACAGAAGTATCCCTTAAATGTCCCACAATGTGGAAATTCAGAAATACAAAATATCTTTTAGAAAGGTCAGTCTTTTTATTAAGCGATAATTTATTTTTAGTATGTCATTTACATGCAAATGAACTAATAAAACTGTCATCAATTCGCAGTAGGCCGACATAAATGTGTGGCAGCCTGAACACACCGGCTCCATGTTGAAGCACGGTGGTGGCATCATGGTGGGGAGCAAGAACAGGAACAATCACCTTCTAGAAGAAAAACAACCATGAATGGTTTAGAGTGGGCCATATTCATCTGTTTAAATGTCCTAGTCAAAGTACAAAAATAAATCTGATCAAGATTTCATGGCGAGACTTGTAAATTAATGTTTATGGATGCTTTCCATCCATTCTGACAGCTTTATTTTCTAGATGTTCAAAAGCTGGTAGAAGTGAACCTCATTTTTTAGTTTTCAGGCAAGAGAAGTTTATTTGTGTATCATTTTTCAGCATGCAAACATAAAACATGAAACATTTCAATTGGTATAACAAAAGAAAATCATAAAAAGTTGAAATATAGACAATAATTGTTTCAGTTTTTAAAAAAAAAAAAAAGCTCCAAACTAGGACTGGATTTGTAAATTCACCTGTTACTCGAAAACTTGCATACAAAACAACAGTCGCTTTTTTTGATCCGCCACTGCTTCCAGTTCACAACTGTGTTTATCTTTGTTGGATTGTCGCATAATTATTAAAATATGCTATGGCAGTAACTTGTTAAATATGAAAGATATTCAAGTGGTATGAACACTTTCGCAGGCGCTGTATTTTTTTCCAAATCAGAGTAACTCCTCTGTCCACATATAGACGATGTTGTGGGTGCAGTACCCTCTCCGGTGCGCTAGGTGGCAGTAGAAAGATGCCCCGTTTCCTACGGAGCCGCGCAGTCACAACAAGAGGAGGAAGAGGAAAAACGACAACTCTGGATCTGGATCGTCGTCGACTGCCTTGCGTGACAACACAGGGATCGTCCAGACTTCGGGTATTGGCGCTTTTTCCTTCTCCTCTCTTTGTCGCGTCGGAGCGCCGCGGTTCGGCCGCCTCGCCGCCCGGTTTGTAGCGGTACGTGCCCCGCGCGGTGTCGCCGCTGTCGGAGCGCTGCCTGTCGGGCTGCAGAAACACTAACCGAGGCTGGTTGGCTGGCCAAGATGGCTGGGCGCAGTGAAATGTGAAATATTCTCGCTAAGGTTGATTCTTTCCTGCACACAGCGTTGCTTGTCACGCACACACCGGCGCGGGAATGCGCCGGTGGCCCGCAGAACAGTGCGTGTGTTTGTTTCCGTTTGTGTTTTTATTTTTATTTTGATTAGCTTAACCGAGGCTCAGCTCGCTGTTGGGGCCTGTCGCGTTTTTCTCATTTCCAGAGGCTTTTTGCATGATTGATTTAGCCGCTTCTTTTTCTTCTTCGCATCTTATTTGTAAATAAAAGCGCTTTTAGTTGCATGTTGCATCAAATGTTGCCTTTCAGTTTGTTTGTTTTACAATTAAGAGGCATGCGAGCAGAGCTCCACCCCTCTGCTGTTGCATGCAGCCCTGTTCTGGTGAGGAAATTAAAGCGCATCTTTAGTTTGTAATCACCTCGTAAAACCACTTCCACACCTAAACACCCATAAAAAGCTTTGCAATGTTCACATGTTATATTAAAAGTATTATTTTCTGCTGATTTTAAGCCGGTTTCTTCATCAAACAGCTTAAAAACGTCAACCTAAGTAGAATCCAGGAAATGACGTAGGTAAAGGAAAACTCGGGATCACATCAGCTGAGTTATTTACTCAGTGATTTCTCTGTTTTGTGTTAAAGATCTGACATTTCCTGACTGAGATTTCAATTCCGATTTTCTATAGTCTGATGTCTCAATTACATTTCAACTCAGTCATAAAAACTAAGAACTTTATCCACCTGTTGTTTATAAACAAGTAAAACAGCAAATGCAGATTATTTTTTGATCAAATAAAAGATAAAGATAAGAGAGTTTTTTTAATTACTTCATTTCCTGCTGGATTTGAGATTACAACCTCCATCAAGGAACTTATTGCACATTTTTAAGCTTCTTTGTGAATTTCACTAATGAATCTTTCATCTCAAATGAATACTTTGATGCAGTTTTGTAAGTTAATGTATTTCATGAACTACACATTCACTCCTTGCATACTAATGTTTTATTCTGTTCGATGGGAGGCTTTCTCAGTTTATTATGGACTGGATTTATATTTTAGCATTTGAGACGCTAAAGCTAACATATGGTGGTCACAAGATTATGATGGTAATAAACATAAATTGGAATATTTTTCACGTCTCTGCCCGGTTTTCTGTCCATACGGTGGAATAGATTTAAAGAGAAGAGTGACAAAAGCAAAGGTGGTGGAGCAGCAGTGCATTTAATTTATTTCATATTACTGTGGAGGATTATGTCTGCTGCTCAGAAATTAAGCTGTTAGCATCACATAACAAATGTTACTGTCTTTTAGGCAATTGTTTTAAAAAGTTTGTATATTTGCATCTTTAAATGTATTTTTGATAGTTCCAAAAATAGGCTTAAGTGGTTAAATAAAAAAATGTCTGCAGAATGTGTCAACATTTCCATCCAATTAATTATTGGTATAATTGATTACTAAGAGTATTATTAGTTGCCACAGACAATAATATCCTGTCAATAAACAAGCAGTACTTTGTGAAATCAACTTTTTTGCGTTTGCATCATGTTATAATGTTATTTCTTCATCAAAAACATTCCTGGAGTCAGTTTTGCCTTGATTCTTTCATTTAATTATATTTTAAAGTTAATGGATCTTTGAGAGTGTGTTCTTGCACTATTATGCCATTGAAAATCATCTAAAGACAACAATATTAACTGTTTATTGCAATAATTACTGGGACTATTTATCATCCAGCAACAGCTGCTTTGGTGACAGGGTTAATGCCGCCCCTTTAAGAAGTTTTTAACCTGCGTCTCTGTCGCCTGCAGGTTGCTCCAGTTTGACCTGCGCCATGTCTGATTTGCTGAGATACATCGACTACGACCACAAAGCCACCTTCCTGAAGATGCTGAACCAGCAGCGCATGGAGGGCGAGCACTGCGACGTGGTGGTGGTGGTGGAGAACATCGAGTTCCGGGCGCACCGCTGCGTCCTGGCCGCCTGCAGCAACTACTTCAAGAAGCTCTTCAAGAAGCAGAACGACGAGGACAACTCCATCGTTGAGCTCGACTTCATCCGCTCCGACATCTTCGAGGAAGTGCTCAACTACATGTACACGGCGCGGCTGGCGGTCCGGAAGAAGGACATCAACATGATGATGTCGTCCGGACAGATCCTCGGCATCAACTTCCTGGACAACCTTTGCACCCAGAAGCGGGAGCTGACCAACATGAAGACCCGCGAGAACCAGGCGCCGGACGACCACGGCATGCGGGCGCAGGACGCCATCTTGAAAGAGCTCGCCATGGAGGAGGTGAGGAAGAACAGCTTCTACGACCAGGGGATGGACGCCATCGGCCCCGGCGGCTCCCACGTCTCACAGCCGCACAGCTACAACACGGGGCTGGGGAAGGACCCGCACGCCCACGGCTGGGGGTCGTCGACCTCCGCCGCCGACATGAAGCTGGAGTACCTCCTCTACGGCCACCGCGACCACAACTCCTGCCAGAGCGCCGGCGCCAAGCCGCTCGACCACAACGCCAAGAAGGAGCGACTGCTGACAGCCAACCGCCCGTACGGCTGCGAGCACTGCCCCAAAGCCTTCACCACCGCCGCACACCTCAAGGAGCACCTGAAGATCCACTCGGGCTTCAAGCCGCACCGCTGCGTCGTCTGCGGCAAGGCCTTCATCCGAGGGCCAGACCTGAAGCGGCATGAGCGCGTGCACAGCAACGAGCGGCCCTTCGCCTGCCAGATGTGCGAAAAGGCCTTCAAGCACAAGTCCCACCTGAAGGACCACGAGCGGCAGCACCGGGGCGAGCGGCCCTTCAACTGCGGCTCGTGCGACAAGGCGTTCATCAAGGCGTCGGACCTGAAGCGCCACTGGAACACGATGCACAGCGCCAACCCACGCAGACAGATGTCGCTGTCGCCCGCCGCCTCCCAGCACGGCCAGGCGGAGGCCGCCGACCAGAGAGACTGGAAACTGGAGACCGGGTCACACTCGCACAACTCTGGGGACTGCTGAGCGATCCGAACACACACACACACACACACACACACACACACACACACACTGACATACAGGGGCGTCTCAGTCAATAGGAATATAATCAATAAGGTAATTTTATTTCAGTCATTTAGTCCAAAACGGAGGACGAGGGCCATGCAAAGAAAATTACGAAAATAAAGTCAATAATATTATGAATTTATTCTCAAAATATAATTCCTTTATTCTTTTATTATTTCAACTTTATTCTCGTAATTTTATTTTTCAGTCTTTTTCTCAATATGGCCTTTAAACTCCATGTTTGGAAAAAAACAATTAATTACACACAGAACATTTTAAAATGTTAATTTCTGTTATTTTAGAGCAAGGGTGCCAAACTCGAGGCCTGTGGGCCAAATCCGGCCCACCACAGCTATTTTTGTGGCTCTAGGCTCGTGAGTTTAGAGGGCCACATAATTAGCATTTTGAGATAAATATTGTTAATATTTTTTATCTTAAAAAGCACAAATCAAAAGGAGAGAAATATATAATAGTTTAAGTTTGTCAGTATGTAGTTTTATTAATACTATCATAATCAGCATTCATGATTTCAGTCTGACCCAAAATTATTTTATATAATTGATTTAGAGGATTGTAGTCAAAACATGTTTTAATTACACAAACAACTGTAGTAAAAAAATGTATTCCACTAGTCGTAATGTTTATTTTAGTTATTGTTTTTCTTCTGACCATTGATAATTAAAAATTCTTATGATTGGGGAAAAAAAACTATTTTTTTTATGCAGTATTAAAAATGCTAATTAAATTTTTAAATGAGTTAAATTTGCTTAAAATGCAATCAAGAGTTTGTATTTTTCTACAGTTTAGCTTAATTAATCCTGTGACTGTCAGCAAATGACATTTTTTCTTAGTCATTATATTCCAGTTGATGATTAATTGATTACTAATTTAGTTGAGGATTATTTGATGAATCAATTAATCACGATTAACCCGATTAATCATTTCAGCCCTACAGTTCACACAAAGTAACATAATTTTAAGGATTAAAATGAACACAAAACTATTTTTATAAGATTTTTAACAGATGGTTATTTTATGTAGCTGCTAACTTTAGAGTTATCTCTCAGTCAGTCACGTTTGATGAAAGACAGAGGACCAGAGTAGATAAGTAGATGCACATTGCACGTCAAATCATCATCACTGACTGTGAAAACTTTACACTGGACCTCATTTAACCTTGAAGACGCAAATTTTACTTTCCTTTAAAGAAGAATTTTGGGCCTGATTCAGAAATAGCCAAATGTGTAACATTCATCAGGTGTTTCCTGTGTTTTTACATCGCCTACTATCACACTTTTTCCTTCCACTAAACGTTCATAACATTTCTGTATTAAAAATCTTAAGTGATTTTATGAGAATTTCAGGTTGTAGCCAGTGTCAAATTGTTAGAAAAATGCTTTTTTAACTTTATTTTTTTTAATTGAATTGTTGACATAAATTACCTTTTTGATGATATTGTAATTGATTGAGATGCCAGTGGACTGACCTGCTAACATGCACACTTTAATCCCACTTACACACACTGACACAAGCACGAGGACAGTGATGGGAGTGCAGAACAGGAGAGCAGAGCATGTTCATAAAGACTGTGAGGCTGTATTATTATTATTATCATTATGATTATTATTATAATTCTAAAGAGTTATGTCCTTCCACCTGTAAAGTCATGTAAATGTTTAGTTCACTATACTATACATATATTTTTCACAAAGCATCGTCGCTATCTAGACCGGAGGGGTTCTCATAACGTTATTTTTTTTTCTTTTCTTTTTAATAAAATAAACATTTAAATGTTCTTTTAACCTTTTATGGATTTTATGGAGATAAAAACAGAGTCCAAGAAGGAAAGAGGGAATAGGGGAGAAAATAATTTTCTGCATAACATTTGTTGCATTGAGTATATTCATGTGGATGTTTTTAAATGGATGTGTTTAGTTGTATTGATTGATATTACACTGTAAAAGTAAGACGCAGACGAAACCAAAGTCTTGGACTCCTGACGGATCGTCCTCAGAGACTGTCCTGTCCGAGCAGAACCGGCCAACTAGATTTACTGTTATACAGTACGACTGTCATCCGGGGCTTTCCACAGATAATGATCGGTGTCTGTATATACTGTAGCTTAGTTTGTTGCACAACTAGAGTTCACAATATTGAAATCATGCACATATAACATTGTCCTACTCCTACACTTTGACAATAAACACCATTTGCTGTGTTTTAATGTTGTTGTCTGTTTGTGGAAGCGACAGAACTTTTACAAAGGTTTCTTTACGGTACGGCTTGGCTAACGTCTGCCCGTGACGTATGCAATGCGCCGGTTCGACGTTACGAAGATTATCGGGAATTGTCTGCGCTGCGAGAAGAGACGTGCCAAGCTGAATGAAATGGCTTTTAATGTCAAAATTGGGAAGCAGGGATTGAACGGATTCGTTCACGTCCTCGGCTGCCGTTGCTAAAACTACAGGCAGACTACAATTCTAAAACGGCGCAGAAAATCGACGTCATCGTTCACGTCTTGCCTTGATGTTCGCTGATTGGCTTGGTAGAAATTCTAAACCCACGCCTAAACGGGTACGTTTACTTTTTTTTTTTTTTTTTTTTTTTTGATATTTTAATGTTATAATGGAGCACAAATGATTATTTCAGTAATATTAAATTTAGTTTAACTACTTTTTTATTGCATCAAAGGGGTGCATTTACTTCTTGACCCCATCTGCTTTGCGTGACGTCTATACTACGTCATCTGCAACCCAGCAATTCGCTGTAGATGCCAGTAGAATAAGCTTTTGTGCCAAAATAAGCATTTTACATATTTTAGCTATGTTTATCAAGGTGAATGGATTATGTCAATGTAAATCAACATACTGGTGAACGCACATGTGCTACTGGCAGCATTTAAGCTAGCCATAGCATTTTGGGTCATTTTTGTTTGTACACTGTTTTGTTTTTTGGGTTTTTTTGTACACTAATGTTAGCACACTGAATGGAGTCATTTCTTGTTGGTCAACATGTTGCTGATGATCCTCATCCCACTGCTAGTGTCAACATGCTATTCACTCTGCTTGCTAGTGGTTGACCTCATGCTAACGTTAGCTTTGTACATAAACTAAGCATTTTAGCAAATTTTTCATTTATTAGCTAGGTTAATCATACTGAATGGCGTAGGTCTAAGTAAATCAACATACTGGTGACACCCTCCGTTAGCAAAGTGGGTCCTGGAGGGTCGATTTACTCCGCTCACTGGTTTAACACACCTGCATCAAATGATCTCTCATTAAAACCCCAAAGAAGAACATTGAGAAGGTTGTTAAACCACCAGGGAGAGAACTAAAACATGCAGGATGCCGGCCCTCCAGGAACCTCTTTGGACACCTCAGATTTAAGGTACCCTTAGGATTTTGGGTAATTTTACATTATATGCTAATGTTAGCATACTGAATGACTTAACTATCCAAATGTTGTGAATAAATGCAACCACTGCAAACAGGAAATACAAAACATTGTTCAAAACAAGCAACTAGTAGTTAATTAGTTAATATTTGTTTTGAACATTGCTGTTGTGTGTGCATATATTTTTATACATTTTAAAGTATATTTTATTTGTTTTCCTGTTATTTTCTACACAAAAACTACTATATTATTTATTCACAATAAATACAAATCCCAAGTAATCACTAGGCCGCTCACAATAACACATTTTGCTGGACGAAAATGTGTTATTATTGTGATAAAGAATAACATTGTTGTTTTGAGGCTGTTTTCAAGTACTATAACGTTAATGGCAAAATGATACCAGATTATTTTATTCCCAAAGATCAATAAACTTTAAATTCTAACTGTAAGTCTTTTTAAAGACATAATAAATAAGCAAAACGACAAAGGAATTTTTTTATGAAGACTCTGTAAACAAAGTTGAGACCAAAGCACCAAACTGGAGACTTTTGCCATCCAGTTTTTGATGAGAGAGAAACGCTAAATTAAACAAACAACAAAAATCATTGAGCTCCTTTTAATTTATCAAGTGATTATCTGATTTATTGCTTCTTGCTACAGGCCTATTTACAACTTGAATGGAGTCAATCTGTGACTTGACTGAGAATGCCTGGAAAGGAAACAGCTTATTTATGTAGTCATATTGTATAAATTAACTTATGCATTTTGACTCAGCCTTTGGTTTGTTGTGAAGGTTCAACCACTCAGCCATCTCAGGTCACATTCTGCAGCTTCAGCAAAGCTGTTTTTATTTTGAATATAATTAAACCTGGAGGGAAAAAAATCAGTAGAAACCTCGGCGTTGTCCCATACTCTGCATGCAACACTAGATGGTGCCCTGCTCATAGTGACTGACCCGTTCCTGTCCAACTTTGACCTGCTGGTGTCCACCGTCCATCACTGTGGGAGCCAGAAATGATGCTGGTTTGATGGAAAAACCTGCAGTATTTATTAAAGGAAGTTGAGTTCAGAGTGAAAAACACGGGCTGTCTGAGTGAAATGTATGCGCTGTCACACCTCAGTGTTTTCATGCATTTACATGCGCTTGGAGAGATGCCAGCGGAGCGTCAGGGCGCTGTAGACTCGGGAATAAAATTGCCTTTGTCTTGGTTGTTCGTCCTCACAGCCCAGTGGGAGAACAACCTGCTGCGTGCCAACAGGAGCAGAGTTTGAACACATGGGATTTGAAGCAGCTTTGTGGAAAAATGACATCAGTGTATAATGGAAAAGGCAACCCTGACCTCACTGTCGGTGGATGCCTGAGATCTGTTTTCTGCATTTCCTGACCTTGTTCTTGTTTCTGTGCGTGTGTTTGTACATGCAACATATAGAGAACCAAAAACACCAACAAAGCCTGGGAATTTTCCTCTGATTCTTTTTTGTTGTACTGAGCTCTCCTGATTAAGTTTAGAGGTGTGGCGCAAGTTAAGTTGTGGTTACGGTTAGAGTTAGGAATATGTTGGTAATGGGTAAAGTTAGTGTTTGAGTTAGGCATAAATGCAGTCACTAAAATAAATGCAAGTTAATGCAACATCCTCAGATCAATAAAACTTCCCAAGTATTTTGGTCTGCTTTCTAGTGCAAATATCTTGAACATTTAATTTGAAATAAGATAATAAAAGTAACTTTTCAGCAAGATAATTAAGCTTGTTTTGAGTCAATAACTATTAGATGTAGATTTTTCAAAAAGGATTAGCTCCACTGGCAGACTCGTTTTACGTAAAACAGGGAAGATGTCATAAATGGGAAAAAGTCTGCAAGTAATATTAATCAACTAATCAATAAAGTTAACATTAAAAGCTACAGCGGGCCAGATTTGGCCATGGCCCTTCAGTTTGACATCTGTGCTCTAGATCTGGATGGGACTTTCGTCTTGTCATCCTGGAAATGTTGTTTGGCTGATAAAAGGCTGAATTTGTAACTGTATCTGTTTGCGTTAGCAAAGTGCAGAGCACAGCAAACTGATGCCCTAACCCTGTAAATCCAGCTCTGGGTTCAATTATAGAAATGGATGAAAAATTTCGCAAAGTTCTTGTGAATATAGAAAGACGTATATAAATGTGTGTGAGGGTGAGAAAGAGAGTGGGTGCATTAAAACCCATAACAAAGGCAGGATATGGGTTTGCATCACTGTCAGGCTGTGTGTGTGTGTGTGTGTGTGTGTGTGTGTGTGTGTGTGTGTGTGTGTGTGTGTGTGTGTGTGTGTGTGTGTGTGTGTGTGTGTGTGTGGTGTGTGTGTGTGTGTGTGTGTGTGTGTGTGTGTGTGTGTGCGCTCCACACAGTGTTTGTCTATATTTGCATGCATCTGTGCAAATGCACATATCTTTGTGTGAATGGCAGGCAGGGATGAATGCACAGAGCGTGCATTCATGCAGGTCGCCCTGTGTCAGTCTTCATTTGCTTTATGCATGCATGCATGCTTGTGCACGCACATGAACACATTATCAGTATTTATTGAGCTGTGTTTGAGAAGAGTTTGCTCTCTTTACATAAATGCATGTATACCCAACTGTGCAAAAGTTTTAAATCCCTCCTGTGTTTTCCTGTTTCTTGGCCTACATTCAGACTGACTGTTAAAATTTTCTTTTAAATTTTAGATTCTGACATTGGCAGCATAAATTGCTTTGCATAAGTATTAATATCCTTTGTGCTTTTGCACATTTCTGGACAATTTTTTATTACTAAACCAGATTTTACAAAAAAAAAAAACCCATTGAGATCAAAATCTCTTTCACAAGGATGACCTGGCCAAAAACGGCAGCAACACGCATCATAAGACATACATCTGTTTGACGAGACAAATGGAAATAACAAAAATAGACAGTAGAAGTATATAAATGCAAACAATTAGACAATATCATGTAGTAGTTGTGACATATATAAAAAAAAAAACTGGCAATTTAAGACAGTTTTTAAAAATATTCAGTGAAATGAGTTGTGACAGTTCTGGCCGCAAACTGCAATGTATTTTAGTTGGATTTTTCTGTGGTTGTTTTGTGGTTTTCCATGCAAATATGAATGGAAAAAGTGCACAGTCTTAAAAAAATGACAGTGAATTTCTGAAAAGTGTGGCATGCTTTTGCATTCAGTCCATTCTTTGATGGACTCGTTTTACTCGTTCACACATGTAAAACCCACATTTTTTCCATGTCACTTCTTGTCAAAACCACTCAATGACTGTCTCAATGTTGTTGGATTTGGATCTGGACTTTGACTGGGCCGTTCAAAAAAGGGGCCAGTTGAGACTGATGCACCATGCTGAAGACTTTTGTCATCCAGCTTTCGGTAGAAGGAGAGCGACTTAAATTCAAATGGAAATTATCGAGCTAGTTTGTGACACCATTAATTAATTTATTGCTTATTGCGACAGGCCTAACGACTCGAGACTTTTGCACAGCGCAGCATGAGAGCGTTATGTGGTACATATTAGTATTGAGTGGGTTGTGACCTAAGAGTCATGTCTGCACGGGTTTATGTGCGTTTGTACACAGCTTCTCTCCAGCTTCAGTGTGCGTGTGTGTGTTTATGTGCAGAGTGAACACCCGGTTTCCATTACGCCGGGCCGGCCGGGTTCCATCAGCCAGACCACAAGCCTCCTGTCTCCACTCAGGCTCCACCCAGCGCCGCCACAGGCTTCCCAGAAAAGAACAGCATCTAATTAAAAAGAAAAAAAACTTTAATTACACTCATCTCATCTCTGTCTCACTCTGAGAGAATAAAACGACTGTG